AAGAGGAGCAGGAGACCAAGAGGAGCAGGAGACCAAGAGGAGCAGGAGACCAAGAGGAGCAGGAGACCAAGAGCAGCAGGAGACCAAGAGCAGCAGGAGACCAAGAGCAGGAGACCGTAAAACGGGAGACCAAGAGCAGGAGACCGTAAAGCAGGAGACCGTACAGCAGGAGACCAAGAGCAGGAGACCAAAAGCAGAAGACCAAGAGCAGGAGACCAACAACAGGAGACCATCAGCAACAGGAGACTAACGGGCCAAGAAGGACCAGGGCCCAGGAGTATTCTGGACCCTCGGCCCGTTTTCTGTGAGAGGGATGAGGTCACCACTATACACAGCTGCTGTATGGTGGTAACTGGTCACACCGTACCATGGTTACACTAACACTGGTGGCGAGTGTGGTGGTGTGGTGGTGGTAGTACTGGAAGACCAGGTTATTGTGGTCGCGGTCATTATTGCTGTGGTTGGTTCTGGTGGTGGTGGTGATTGGTGCTGTGGTGTGGTGGTAGTAATTGGCGCTGTGGTGTAGTTGTGGTGGTTGTGGTGGTTGTGGTGTGGTAGTGGTGGTTGTGGTGTGGTTGTGGTGGTGGTAGTGATTGGTGCTGTGGTGTGGTGGTAGTGATTGGTGCTGTGGTGTGGTTGTGGTGATGGTGGTGGTGATTGGCGCTGTGGTGGTGGTTGTGGTGGTGTGGGTGGTTGTGGTAGGGGTACACAGTACACCACACGTCACCGTAGCGCACAGTACACTAAACATCAAACGAACAAATCCACAAGGGCCGTGCCGAGGATTCGAACCTACATCCGAGAGCATCCCAGACGCTGCCTTAATCGACATGGTTGACACACGGCCGCCAGCAAGCGTCTATATTGCCAACACTGCATTCCTTACTCTAGGAAGCCAATATTGCAAACCCTCGCTACCTAGGTCAATACTGCAACCACTAACCAGTTGTACGGTCAATAACCCCGCGCCAGCTGCCTGTAATTGTCAATAAACCACAATTAACCCCTAACACCCTCAGACAAAAAATACTTTCAATTACAGCAATTTAACACACATGTTTTAAGAGACAGATAGATGGGTTGTTATTGTTAATACGTAATTGTTGACCAGCCAGAGGCAGGCATTGGTGCCCCAATATTACAGGTGGGTACAGGTGGGTACAGGTGGGTACAGGTGGTCACAGGTGGTCCCAGGTGGGTACAGGTGGTCACAGGTGGGTACAGTTGGTCACAGGTGGTCCCAGGTGGGCACAGGTGGTCACAGGTGGGTACAGTTGGTCCCAGGTGGTCACAGGTGGGTACAGGTGGGTACAGGTGGTCACAGGTGGGTACAGTTGGTCACAGGTGGTCCCAGGTGGGCACAGGTGGGTACAGGTGGGTACAGGTGGTCCCAGGTGGGCACAGGTGGGTACAGGTGGGTACAGGTGGTCCCAGGTGGGTACAGGTGGTCCCAGGTGGGTACAGGTGGTTCCAGGTGGGCACAGGTGGTCCCAGGTGGGTACAGGTGGGCACAGGTGGTCCCAGGTGGTCCCAGGTGGGCACAGGTGGTCACAGGTGGGCACAGGTGGGCACAGGTGGGTACAGGTGGGCACAGGTGGCTGGGGTGGAGGATGAGAGCTGGGAGGTTACATTAGCAGGCTTAGCGAGTGGCGCTGACAGCGGTGACGACGCCACTATCACACTGTCGCAGGAGGGGGGGGGGAGAGAGAGAGAGAGAGAGAGAGAGAGAGAGAGAGAGAGAGAGAGAGAGAGAGAGAGAGAGAGAGAGAGAGAGAGAGAGAGAGAGAGAGAGAGAGAGAGGTGGAGTACACAGCCATCTTCATCAATACGTTGTACCACAGTAGTGAACAATAACTAGGGGTGAACACAGGGGTGAACATGACCTTCCAGCCTCCAGCCAGTGTCCCCGCGGCCCGGTCGTCGATTAGCATCACTCAGCTCCATCTTCAACTACACCTCCCAGCCTCTTCCATCACACAGTTCTAACTTACAATGGTCCACCTTAGGCTTACTTACCCCCCCCCCCCCCAATGAGGCGCAGTTCTCCTGCGGCCAGACTCATTTGCGTAAACGACCTTCCGGGGGTTCGTAACCCTCTCCACCACTACCCACAATGACTGAATTGGTCAGGAACTGGTTGTCGGGGCCGGCGCAGCGGGGCGTGAGTGGCCTTAGTTCTGCGCAGGACCAAAACTAGTGACCTTAGGCTGTGAACCGTGACACATTGTAGCCGGAACGGTCTTGTGGCAGCCTCCCCCGCCACACCCTCACCTGCATGTGTTGTTGTTTTCGATTTAGCTACCTAGAACGAAGTGTCCATGTAGCACGGGCTATGGTGAGCCCGTCACCTTCTGCGGCACCAGCGACAACAAATGGAACACACAGTAGTGAGGTGATCTCACGGGAAACATTAAGGTACTCTATAATGTATTAAACATGTACACGAAAGGATTATGCTGATACAAATGCCTGAAAGACTATCCATACTTGTGTCCCTTGGAAGAAGCGCGCGATATATAACCCAACCCGTCCTAGACTCGAGTCCATTCCATCTAGCGGTCGACCCCACAGACGCATTCATAATTTTTTACGTGCTATTCATTCAAAACGGGAATTTTTTTAAATAAATTAATATTATAATAAATTAGCATATTGTGCATATATAGATATAGGTTCGGTTAGGTGTTTAGGTTCTGTTGGCGATTATTTGTAGTACGTGGGTGAAGCATTTACAGCGTTGTGGTTCGAACACAAGTCGTCAGTGAAGCACTTGTTCCGGAAGTGTTCGGACGTCATCAGTTGTGAGTCGTGTGTAAACCGTTGTTCATTCATAAACAGTTGGGGGGGTTGGCGGGTGGATGGAATCACTTTTGGATCTTTTGTTTGGAGGACAGGCTGTGTATAACAATACCAAAAGATTTGCACGACGCCGTTCTGTTTACACTCAGTAGAGCTTGCGTACGATACCGCCCTCGGCTCTTCACGTCTTGTAAGCAAGATGAATCAAGGTTTAACGTTTACCGGCCGAGATTAACGAGCCAGACCTCATCAATAAAGGCCAAATGCTCGTTAATCAAGCATGGCAAAATTCCTGTTTATGAATGAATAACTGTTTTCACACACACACACACACACACATCATGTGTGTGTGTGTGTGTGTGTGTGTGTGTGTGGAGCCAGAGAGTTACGGTAAGGGGGCGTGAAGTCGGACTGGCGAACAGTAACGAGACCAGTTCTATTTCTAGTATATGTTAACGACATGTTTACAGGAGTAGAGTCCTACATGTCGATGTTCGCGGATGACGCAAAGTTGATGAGAAGAGTTGTGACAGATGAGGATTGTAGGATCCTCCAAGAGGACTTGAACAGGTTGCAGAGATGGTCAGGGAAATGGCTACTGGAGTTCAACACGAGCAAATGTAAAGTTATGGAAATGGTACTAGGTGATAGGAGACCAAAGGGACAGTACACAATGAAGGGGAACAGCCTACCTGTGACGACGCGAGAAAAAGACCTGGGCGTGGACGTAACACCTAATCTAACTCCTGAGGCACATATAAATAGGATATCGACAGCAGCGTACTCTACACTGGCAAAAGTTAGAACTTCATTCAGAAACCTAAGGAGGCATTTAGGGTGCTTTACAATGCCTACGTGAGGCCAGTCTTAGAGTATGCCACCTCATCATAGAGTCCCCATCTGAAGAAACACATAAGGAAACTGGAAAAGGTTCAGAAGTTTGCAACGGAACTCGTCCCAGAGCTACGAGGGATGGGGTATGAGGAGCGCCTGAGGGAACTGTGCCTTACGACATTAGAAAGAAGGGAGAGAGGAGATATGATAGGAACGTATAAAATACTCAGGGGAATTGACAGAGTGGACATAGACGAAATGTTCACACGGAATAGTAACAGAACGAGGGAACATGGGTGGAAGCTGGAAACTCAGATGAGTCACAGAGATGTTAGGAAGTTTTCTTTTAGCGTGAGAGTAGTGGGAAAATGGAATGCACTTCAGGAACAGGTTGTGGAAGCAAATACTATTCATAATTTTAAAACTAGGTATGATAGGGAAATGGGATAGGAGTCATTGCTGTAAACAACCGATGCTCGAAAGGCGGGATCCAAGAGTCAATGCTCGATCCTGCAGACATAAATAGGTGAGTACACACACACACACACACACACAAGCACAATTAGGTGAGTACACACACACACACACACGCGCGCGCGCGCACACTGCATGTAAGAAAACCTTGTGAACAGAGTCACCACAGGGGGAAGAGGAGTCACCACAGAGGGAAGAGGAGTCACCACAGGGGGAAGAGGAGTCACCACAGGGGGAAGAGGAGTCACCACAGAGGGAGAGGAGTCACCACAGAGGGAAGAGGAGTCACCACAGAGGGAAGAGGAGTCACCACAGGGGGAAGAGGAGTCACCACAGAGGGAAGAGGAGTCACCACAGGGGGAAGAGGAGTCACCACAGAGGGAGAGGAGTCACCACAGAGGGAAGAGGAATCACCACAGAGGGAAGAGGAGTCACCACACAGAGTGGAGGCCATAAGCACTTGGTGACGCAAGCAGGGCGTGAGGAGTGCCCAGTGTAGTGAGGGGGGGAGGGGGGGCGTGAGTGAGTGAGGGGCAGCCTCATGCCAAGAGGCCCCGAGGGCCCCCCCTCCTCACAACACCTGGTGCACCTGTGAGGTTCATGAGAGCCTTGAACGCCAGGGCCCCCAAGTGACCCTGATTGCGGTACGACATCACTCACTCGATCAACACCTGGGCACCTGCCCCGCGCCGCCAGACGCACGAGACATACCTGGAAAGTGTAATTGCCTCGTTCCCCCGAGGGGCGAGGCCGTGTATGGAGTCACCCTGGGGAACACTTGTGTGACCCCAGGGCACGAGGGGCATGCGGGGCATTATGTAAATATACTGGGCATGGGTATGACGGGTATACCCATGACTTCGTCAGTAAGGGGTATAGGGGGCAGAACATACCTGGTATACACGTGTCCTGTGCCCCCCTGAGGTGGTGCTGGGGGGGTGTTGGTGAGGAGGGGGCGCCGCGCCTCGCAAGGGGAGGGGCAGGAGCTGTGGGGTGCGGGTGGAGGAGGAGCCGGGCAGGGAGGTGCTCACTCGACCAGCGCTCGGCTGTACTGACTGCTGGCCAGCACCAGCACCCGTCCCTCCCTCCCCTCTCTCACTCCCTCCATCCCTTCCTCCATCTCCCTCCCTCCCTCCTGACGTCCAGCTGGCGCCCTCCGGCCAAAATCTATCCCACCCGGGGAGTCACTCCCTCCCACCTGCCCTCCACACACTCCCTCCCACCTGCCCTCCCTCCAAACCTCCCTCCAAACCTCCACAATGTATTACATTCCTCAACATGATGGAGGGCGAGGCTGACAGGAACCCGGAGTGACTGTAGGAACATATTTGTGTAACTCATTCTTAACAAATATTTGTACATTCAAAATTCTGTTGTTGTTGTTGTGACGTCGTCTGTGGCGTGTTGGTAAACATGACCACGTGCTTCATCCTGCCTCGTCTAGTATACCTTGTATTGTCTGTATCTGTGGAAGAGAATGTGTGTCTAAAGAGGCCAGACGCTATGGGCTAGTCTCTCTCTACTTTATATTTTGCTTTAGCAGCTTCTCTGAGAGAGAGAAAGAGAGGGAGAGAGAGCGAGAGCCAGAGAGAGCCAGAGACAGCGAGAGAGAGAGAGAGAGACAGAGAGAGACCCGGACCCATCCGGGTATCCCATCATATAGTCTTATATATAATCATATACTGCAGTTATACACTCATATAGGGGCACTTAATACCTGCTATTCACGTTCATATTTTTATTGTCACGTCATTCACAAAACAATAAACATACGAAAACACACAAAAAACGGGTGTTGTCTTGTTCTAACTCACGTGTCCACTCTTATGAAACCTGTACATCTTGCCACAGCCGTGGCGGCGTAGTTTGAAGTTATTAGAGAGTTTACGAGCTGGGATACGCTACGAGGCCATTCCCGACCCATGGCTGTTACCGGCATAACTGAGAAGCAAAGGGCGAGGGAATCACTAAGATCTATCTATAGCCATTTTAATTGTATAAAAAACTAATTAAAGCATCATACATTGTGAATACACTGGGAGCCGGTCGGCCGAGTGGAGAGCACGCTGGACTTGTGATCCTGTGGTCCTGGGTTCGATCCAGGCACCGGCGAGAAACAATGGGCAGAGTTTCTTTCACCCTATGCCCCCGTTACCTAGCTGCAAAATAGGTACCTCGGTGTTAGTCAGCTATCACGGGTTGCTTCCTGGGGGTGGAGGCCTGGTCGAGGACTGGGCCGCGGGGACACTAAAGCCCCGAAATCATCTCAAGATAGGTGGGAAGTCTGTCTGTAGCCGATGGTGTCACACACAGTCCTAGTCAGTGTAGTGTACCACCGTGACCAGCCTAAGCCCCAATCTAACCTGTCCCAAACTAACCTAAAGAAAATGTGATACAATGTTTGATATAGAGTATGCAGGAGGTACGAGACCACATTATAAGGTGATAATGTTCATTCTGGTGACGGTGTTAGACCATCCTTGTGAGGCGTTCAGCCAGACCAACTCACTCACACACACACACTCACTCACACACACTCACTCACACACTCACACTCACTCACTCACACACTCATTCAACATATTTTAACAAACAGTCGTTACAAACGGGCCACGAATCACGAAGCCTGTTGTAACACCACTATAATTGTAACACCTCTATAATGTATACTAAACTAATAATGTAAACACTACTACTTCCTATCCTGAGTAACACTTCCCCATCGGTTGCACTTGGTAACACTGTTATTGAACACTGTAATATGAGCTGACATATGATGGTTACACCGGAACCAAAAGGTACACTGTTAACAAGGAAATGCTACACAGGACTAAATAACGCTGCCACCATCTGCCTTTGACCATTGAGACTATATCAAGCAACGAGGCAAGAAACATTGCTTGACTTGGAGAGTACTTTCTATAACTGTCATTAATTATGGGACGGTTGTCAGCCACTATATCCAAAAAGCTAAGAGGATTCAACAATTGACACAGACGGGAAATTTAACACGAGTTTATTAAGAACAAAATTATGCTATTCACAACTTATAAATCCTACTCTAACACTGGCCAATAGTTAAGAAATTTAGACATGGAACAAAACCTCAGAGATCACACACATTACCTTAAGACCTCTGTCTCTCCCTCCGGTGGATTCACTCTGTCCCTCCCTTGCTGTGAGATGTTCTCCACAGCCCTCTCTGGACCCCGGTGTCCCGCACTCTCCCTCAACTAAGTCTCTACAGGACCTCTATATATACAACCCCAACAGGGGGGAGGTTATAGAGTTATAAACTGCTACGTGAATCTGGCCCCAGGTTCGTAAGTGCTTGCGTAACTGCTTCGTGAGTCTGGCCCCAGGTTCGTAAGTGCTTGCGTAACTGCTTCGTGAATCTGGCCCCAGGTTCGTAAGTGCTTGCGTAACGGCTTCGTGAATCTGGCCCCAGGTTCGTAAGTGCTTGCGTAACTGCTTCGTGAATCTGGCCCCAGGTTAAGAGACAACTTCGCAGCGCTTAATTAAAGTGTTTAATAAATGCAAACGGAGCCACCATGACTGAAGAAAGATGTACCGGTTTCGTAAGGAGACGTAAATATCTGATGACTCGCGGCCATTGGCGGAGCCAGGCGGCGACTACGACTTCGACAACAATATTCGAACACAGTGATGGCGCCGAGAGGCAAACATTACGTGTTTGTTTGTTTGTTTAAACAATTATTGAGCTGGGAGGATGTTGTTTGTCATTGTCTCCTTCTGGGGTGTGTGTACACCTGCTGGGGGTGTGTGTACACCTGCTGGGGTGTGTGTACACCTGCTGGGGTGTGTGTACACCTGCTGGGGTGTGTGTACACCTGCTGGGTGTGTGTGTACACCTGCTGGGGGTGTGTGTACACCTGCTGGGGTGTGTGTACACCTGCTGGGGTGTGTGTACACCTGCTGGGGGTGTGTGTACACCTGCTGGGGTGTGTGTACACCTGCTGGGGGTGTGTGTACACCTGCTGGGGTGTGTGTACACCTGCTGGGGTGTGTGTACACCTGCTGGGGTGTGTGTACACCTGCTGGGGTGTGTGTACACCTGCTGGGGGTGTGTGTGTACACCTGCTGGGGGTGTGTGTACACCTGCTCCGGGTGTGTGTACACCTGCTGGGGTGTGTGTACACCTGCTGGGGGTGTGTGTACACCTGCTGGGGTGTGTGTACACCTGCTGGGGGTGTGTGTACACCTGCTGGGGTGTGTGTACACCTGCTGGGGTGTGTGTACACCTGCTGGGGTGTGTGTACACCTGCTGGGGTGTGAATGACTCCCCCCCCCTCCAGGGCCACGCCCATCACCCACCAGGGCCACGCCCATCACCCACCAGGGCCACGCCCATCACCCTCCAGGGCCCCGCCCATCACCCACCAGGGACACGCCCATCACCCTCCAGGGCCCCGCCCATCACCCACCAGGGCCACGCCCATCACCCTCCAGGGCCCCGCCCATCACCCACCAGGGCCACGCCCATCACCCTCCAGGGCCCCGCCCATCACCCACCCAGGGCCCACGAAGCTGTTATCAACCAAAGTCATAGATATCAGAGCTCACAAAGTTATTTAAGGGAAGAAATTGCTTGTTCAATCAAAATTTGGTTAGTTTGGGTCACCCACAATGATGTGAGGCAGAGGACGAGTCACAACAACCTGCTTGTTCACCACCAAACCTCACCTCACAAAATGGAGAGACGTCGACGTTTCGGTCCCTCATGGACCATTATGAGGTCGAGTAATAGAATAGGTAATGCCTCATGAACAACCCGTCCTCATAAACAACCCGTCCTCATAAACAACCCGTTCTCATGAACAACCCGTCCTCTGAACAACCCGTCCTCATGAACAACCCGTCCTCATGAACAACCCGTCCTCATTAACAACCCGTCCTCTGAACAACCCGTCCTCATAAACAACCCGTCCTCTGAACAACCCGTCCTCATAAACAACCCGTCCTCTAAACAACCCGTCCTCATGAACAACCCGTCCTCATGAACAACCCGTCCACATAAACAACCCGTCCTCATAAACAACCCGTCCTCATAAACAACCCGTCATAAACAACCCGTCCTCATGAACAACCCGTCCTCATAAACAACCCGTCCACATAAACAACCCGTCCTCATGAACAACCCGTCCTCATGAACAACCCGTCCTCATGAACAACCCGTTCTCATGAACAACCCGTCCTCATAAACAACCCGTCCACATAAACAACCCGTCCACATAAACAACCCGTCCTCATGAACAACCCGTCCTCATGAACAACCCGTCCTCATGAACAACCCGTCCTCATGAACAACCCGTCCTCATAAACAACCCGTCCTCATGAACAACCCGTCCACATAAACAACCCGTCCTCATGAACAACCCGTCCTCATGAACAACCCGTCCTCATGAACAACCCGTCCTCATGAACAACCCGTCCTCATAAACAACCCGTCCTCATGAACAACCCGTCCTCATGAACAACCCGTCCTCATAAACAACCCGTCCTCATGAACAACCCGTTCTCATGAACAACCCGTCCTCATAAACAACCCGTCCACATAAACAACCCGTCCTCATAAACAACCCGTCCACATAAACAACCCGTCCTCATGAACAACCCGTCCTCATGAACAACCCGTCCTCATGAACAACCCGTCCTCATGAACAACCCGTCCTCATAAACAACCCGTCCTCTGAACAACCCGTCCTCATGAACAACCCGTCCTCATGAACAACCCGTCCTCATGAACAACCCGTCCTCATAAACAACCCGTCCTCATGAACAACCCGTCCACATAAACAACCCGTCCTCATGAACAACCCGTCCTCATAAACAACCCGTCCTCATGAACAACCCGTCCTCATAAACAACCCGTCCTCATGAACAACCCGTCCTCATAAACAACCCGTCCTCATGAACAACCCGTCCACATAAACAACCCGTCCTCATGAACAACCCGTCCTCATGAACAACCCGTCCTCATGAACAACCCGTCCTCATGAACAACCCGTCCTCATAAACAACCCGTCCT